CTACAACATGGCACGTTTTGCGTTCAGCGGTGGACCGTAGGTGAAAAGCAGCAGACATCCATAAGTCTCTGATTCGACACCGCCTTGACGGATTATCTTTTCTGTAATAAAAGCTTCATTCATTTAATTTTGGAAGGAAACCAGGGGAATATTCTCCCTTTATAACCCCTCTAAACTTATACAATGTGAAGAAAAAGAAAAAAGTACACATTTTCGGCTTCTTTCCTCTAACCGACTGGATACCAAATTCGATATATATCTACAATTCTGGCAATAAAACCATATACCAAATTTTATTCATCTGACTTTTGATGATTTTGAGTTATTGTGCTCACATATGCACCGACAGATATAGTCTTCCTACTGACAGATTTCATCCAAAATTTGATAGAGACTAACAATTTTGGCGTGAAGACCGCACACCCAATTTTATTTGTCTGGTTTGCTAAGTTTTCGAGTTCTGAGACAGATAAACATAACTCTAAAAATGGCGTTACCGGACTCGTAGATGTCTAAAACGTGGAGATTCATCGAAGTTTCGAGGTCGAGTTTTCTGACAATTAAAATGTGTTCTGTTTGTAAGCTTTGCATACAAGAAAGTAAAAGAAATCACTATAAACTCATGTTGATTTTTTCAAGAGAAGAAAGCACTGATAATAAGAGAGCACTGCGGCAGGGGCATAATTATAGGATTGTAGAACAGGTAAAATTCCAAGGGCCCACCACAAGGGACAATCAGAACCGGTCAGAACAAAAGCGGGGCCCAGTGCAAAGTTGACTTGCGGGGCCTTGGCAAAATTTCGCCCAACAAAATAATTTATTGCTTTTTGCTATTTATTACATTTCACAATTTGGTTAAGTAAAGACTAAAGAAATACATGAAAATAATAAATAATTAAAATATTTTTATAAAGTTAATATTTTAATCACACAAAAAATCGTTAATAAATTAAACAACAAAAATAACAGCTTCATATATAAAATTTGGTATGCAACTTACTAAAATAAGTTTACATTATGTGATTTTTGTTTCATTTTGTTATAAATTTTATAGCAAATTCCTTGATAATATTATAATGATTTAAATTTTTGGTTAATGCGGATTCGATAGATAAAATGACTAAGCAAATCAATTGTTTGCCTCTAATGCTAGATCTCAAGCTATTTTTTTTATTATTTTTAATCTTGAGGAAGATTTTTCTGCAGATTCGAGCGTTATTGGTAAGGTCAATATAATTTTAGAACAGAAGTAAAGTCTGGATACAATTTAAATAAATATTGTAATGCAATATTGTAATATTACAATATTACAGTGTATTGTAATGTAAATATTTGCAATATTGTGACCTGGAAGGTAAAACTTGACGCCAAATTTTGATTTTGTTAAATAAATGAATGCAATTCATTTTCGTTTTGTTCAATCTGTCAGCGGTGGGGGGCCTTGTACGCTCGCACCTTTCGAAACCCCCTAGGGCTGGCCCTGAATTCAAGCGTTCCTTTCTAAATAAACGATCAAATTCCTCCAATTATTTTTTTGCAAACTCATGTTGTAGAAATGTGTTCTGTCTTCTTGATTTCATAAGGAAAAAAAATTTAATAATCTATTAAAAATTGTTCAGCTTGAAAACTTTCAGTGCTAAAATTCAAATTATAAAATGCGAAAATAGTTTCAATTAGAGTTTCAAAACATGAAAGCAGAAGAAACTTAAAATAACTTTTAACTTTACAGTCAATTGAAAGAGAAAAGCCGCCCCCCCCCTTTCAATTTTTCTGTCGATTTACGATGTCAGCACATGCATTCAGTATTAAAATAACTGTATACTGTTGAATATACTGAAAACATACTGTATGAATGCGATTTTCTTGTATTTTGGATAAGCAAGTGAGTTCTTAAAAGTTGAACTCATTATTTCTTCATATTTAAAAACAAGTTGAACTCATTATTTCTTCAGTAAAGAAAGTTGAACTCATTGTTTCTTCATATTAACAAAAAAATTATTTCTTCATATATAAAAAAAAAACTAAAAACAGATAATCGACTGATCACAAACTTATTTACAGTTATACACAACCTACTGATAGTTTCGGTTTTAGGATATTTAAATTGAACCAATCTTCAAAATACTTCTTATATTTTAAAACTTATCCAAATAACTTTGATATGTAGTTTCCCAAAACAGTAAAAGGTTCCAAATAAGTAACATCTTATAATGAAAAATGCCCAATGTAAAAGAGTAGAAAACATAAATTTTCGTTTGTTAATAAGAAAAATGTTTTATCTGAAAGATATACAATAACAACAAATACCAAAAATATTGAAATATAAAAACAAAGAGGGGACATTGTTTTATAAATTGATAACCTGTTATAATTTTAAGATTTTCTTTTTGGAAATATAAAAGGAAAGTTTGTTTAATAAATAACTATAAAAAAGAGAAAATTAGCATTCCTGAAATTTTTCTGCAAGAACAAATGCAGAATATTTTATTTTGCTGTACGGCTGATACTCCGAATGCGAACGAACTGTTCAATGGAAAATTAAACTTCTGAGAAAACTCTTTGGGTTATTCGTCGTATTTCACACCATCCAATATTCAGATTCACTACTATTGATTAAACACTGAGTGAAAGATGTAACACAGTACCTTTTAACAAGTACTTACGATGAATTCATAGATGCTGGAAAATCACACTTTTGACAAGAAAAGCGAAAACCCTTGTGAGATATATGCTTTATCATCGCTTAGCAGTCCTGCTGAATACAAGGGGAACAAATGTGTTCAATTTAGAACTAGATAAGCAGAAAAAGCATGAAAGACTATCTGCTGGACATTAGGGGAACACTTGTGGATCCGCACGTAAGTCCCTTACCCTGAATGTAATAGTCTCGGGAACAAGGAATGAATTGAATTTTATCACCTGCAATTTATCTTCAAATGACCGACATCCACTTTGTGGTGCCCCCTCCCCCCAGCACCGAAAAGAGAGTGACCATATTATGCCTGGAGCAATCGAACGTAGTTTAGGACTGAACAATGTTATCACTTTTTACCTTTTGTTCTGCCTAAGAAAACGCGTGGACCTCCAGGTAGCAAAGGGAATTGTTGGATTCTTATCCATTAGATCCACCAATTACTTTTTTAAGAGATCTTTGAAGGAAATTTCCAAAACCAGAAAAAAATTGCAATATATTTCTTTTTAGAAAAATTATTAATATTTTATGCCTTTTTTTACATAAAATTTGGTTGAAAGAATTTTTAAAAAAGGATAAATTTTAATGGATTTTGCAAAATCCGTTATCGGCGCGGGTCCTTTCAGAAGCTCGGGGTCTTGTGCGGTCGCACCGTTCGCACCCCCCTCTGACCGGCCCTGATGACAATATAGGGCACTAGCAAGATTGTTTCGAGGTCCCTCCCTGTTCTCAATATCGTAAATTCACATTCGGCTCTGTACTGCGATGTTTCCCATGTCGATCGCAACCGGTTCGGTTGCTGTAATGGCATCAGGCTCGAGGGGCATGGGGCGGCGTTCTGCGCTGCGATGTTCGTCGAATAGATTCTCAGTCCCGCCCCCCCCCCACCACCACCACAAGGTCTCGATGTAGTATTACGTGAGCGCTTCTATCGCATCTGCAGGCTGGCCTTTAGCCGCTTGGACCAATTGCTCCAAATAGGGCTAGGACCCCGCGCAAGAGTGCAACAAAGAATCTACTCAAACTTATTCAAATTAAAATCGAGTATCATTTTGATTTCGACACATTATCCGCAGAAATTTTTTCATCCTTTTAAATTCGTTTACAAACCAATGTTGTTCAATTTTTTCTTGCAGCCAGTTGACTGTTTCAGTAGTCAAAAATTTAAAATTTTTTTTCTAGATTTCTGAATTGCTTTCGTTAGTTAAATACGCCCGTACTTTGTGTTCCTCAGTGATCATGAATAAATAACTTTATAAGGGCCTTAATTCTCTCGAGAACGTAATTGCTATATAATGCATTTAATCATAAAAGCAATAAAAAATTTAGCATTTCTTGAAATTTTTAAAAAAATTAAGTTTTAAGTAAATGAAGTTATTAAAATTATTATTTTAAACAAAGAAAATTTTAACAATAAATATTATTTCATTTATTAAAATTTCATATTGCTTATTTATTTATTATGTATTATTTATTCAAATTTAAATATATCGGGGTTTTCCAAAATGTTTCCATTTGGGTCCCGCATCTAGTAAGACCGGTCCTGCGCCTGTGCAAAAAGTCGCCACTGGGGCCCACGGTTTTTAGGTGCTACAATTACTCAATAGTAACGAGTTAGATAGATGCATAGACATTGCTACAGTACTACCCTGCAGGACTGAAAAAAAAATAAACCAATAAACGTGTTAAATCAATACCAAATAGTCCGAAATAAACAATTTTAAATTAATTATAAGATACTGTTAATATATAAAAAATAATAATAGTCTGTGTCAAATAAAAATTTTAAAAATTTATATTTCCTTACTTCCTTTTAAGACCCTTTAAAATCAACCAACAGCATTTTAAAAAGTGATTCAGTATCTCAAATAATTAAATACTTTTACAATTAATGATAGCGATAAGTTTAATTTTCAAAGGGGGCCCTATCCTAAACATTTGCCGAGGACTCCGTGTTGTCTAGTTACGCCACTGATTGCCAGATTGTTATCCTGTGACGTAGAGCGGGTAACTGGAGCCCGAGTTATAATATGATTTTTTCGCCCCCAGTTGTCAGCATTGTTTTAGTAAGGGTTAATGGCGCAAGGGCAGGACATTATTTTTCGTCTCTTCATGAAATTTCACTTTAAAAAGTGACATAAACGCACTTTTGTTTTCCCCCATGTCGACCCTTTAAGATTGCTGTCCAGAGTATTGTATACCTCCCTTGTTCCTCCGGTCGCTAATCGACTGTGGATGAAACTTTTCAATACAAAACTCATGAGAATCCGATATTCACATTCAGGTTCAAGTTTATTTCGCATTCGGTGAGTAGATAGCTCCGCTGGCAGAGCGGTGGACTGTAGGTGGAAGAAAGTAGATATCCATAGGTCGCTGGTTCGACTCCGGCTCGATGGATGGCTACTTACCACCTCCATATTTTTTTCAATTTGGGACATGAACATGAAATTAAAAATTACAAGACAAGCGTTGATGCGCAGCAGTGTTTATCAAGCGTCTGAATTCATTCAATTATCAAACTGCATCTGTTTTGAAAGTAAGATAATCTATAGCTTACCACTGGCGCATGTTGTTCCAAACAGTATTCTGCTTCGACAGTGTAAGGGATCTTAGTATCACAGAATAAAAAGGAAAGCCAGTTTCAAAGCCTCTTTAATGTTTGAAAAATACCAAAAATGTCTGTGTGTGTGCCGGTAAATAGGGGGAATGCACGAACATTGATACACTTTTTTTGGAAAGATAAAAGATGATTTTACCAACTGTGATAATTAGAATTAATGCGCTATATTTATACATTTGTTAATCTAATATACGATTTCAGTTGAGCTTCGGTCATAAATGGCATAATAAAATACTTATGACACTTTTTTTTCCTAAAAATGGATTTGTGTCAATCTGCACCATACTAGAGGTACATTGATACACGCTCGGGGCACTTTGATTCTTTCAGAGAAATATCAAAAATAATGATGATTGATAGGTATGGGGTCGAAACAAAATTTATTTCATCAATAAAGTTTGTATTCCAAATCAAAGTTTAACAATGTAACAATTTTTTATTTTAATCAAAATTCAACAGTTTTAATGAAACTGGAAAAATTAAACAGTAATGCCTCAGAAAGAAATTTATCTCTACATGTGTGTGTGTGTAAAACTTCTTTGGAGGGAGGGAATGTGTACCTCGAAGTTGTTTTTTCGAAATTTTAATTAATTAAAAATTAAGCGAAAAATTCGCGTTCTTCCTTGATAATTTATGAAAATAATATAGCGCAAAAATAATTTTCACACCATCTGAAAATGTAAAAATTATATTTCAATGACATTAATTAAGTTGCCGTACGATTTTTTCTCCAATTTTAATAAATTATTAAAGAATATTTTAAACTTAATTTACAACAATACTTTTCATTTTTGCAATGAAATTTAAAATCTTTTCATTGTTTAAACAAATACTTAATTGCTTTTTTCTCTTAGATAGTTCAATGTTACGTTTTTTCCATTTCTGAAGACGTTCCACTGTAGTTCTTGTTAACGCGCGTTGGTACACACAAAAGACGCGTATCAATGTATCCCGTAGTCAATTGTATCAATCTGCCCCAAGAGACATTTTTATTTAAAACAAGTGGTCACTCAAAAACAACGCTATACAACCTCAAAACGTAATATAGTTCTGAAAAATAAATGTTTTTTCCTACCTTTGGAGTAGAATCCCTGGCGGGAAAATAAAACTAGTTAAAGAAATCACACAACACATTAAGTAAAAATCACTTAGACGAGGGGATTAGTGGTCTGATTCATTTGTAAATTAACTTTTGACTAAACATGGACAAAAAATATACTCTGTGCTAAGGGTTACAGTGGCATATATATGAGGAGATGTAAACATCTTGAGTCATTCCAATCATCAAAATTTAACGACTGTATCAATGTTCCAGCTTATCAATATACCCCAATTCCCCCCGCATTATGAAATATTCACCAGTATGAAATATAGAATAAGCACTTGCTTGTTTTTCAGCCGAAACTTGATGGAGAATAATAGAATCTGCTACGGTAAGGCACGTAGTTCTACTACAAAAAGCTGCATTGTTTTAAAAAGGTCCGTGAATCAACAATTTTCATTAATTATAACTTACAGCTATAGTGTACTACTGTAGGATGATTCAAATTTCAGTCTACAAACTGTTAGGAAAGGTAGAAAGCACAAAACCAAAGGCAGAATCACATATAAGATGTATGATCGGAAACACCACACAGACGAGGGAAAAGATACACGAAGATACAGAAATAATAACAAGCCAGAAACAGGTGAAAACTTCTTAATTGGTGCCTTAAACGAGTACGGATTGGAGAACCTTTTCGAAAATACCCGCATTTCATGGACATTTGCAGTGACGGGAGAGGTTCTTGCGACGAAGCCGGCACGTCAGCCATATCAATTTTCACAAACTGTTGCATGTTGTCCTTATACACTCTGAACTATAAATTACTAGTGCTTACATTAAACTACAGAGCCGGCAAACAGCATCCCCTAGCGCAGGGGTTCCCAACCTTTACTCCCTCGCGTACCCCTTCATTATTCTTTATATTTTCGCGTACCTCCTACAGTTAGACCCCCCCCCCCAATAAACCATCCGTCTATGTAAAGAAGTTTTATCAATAATGTTAAGGGCTTAGATAAGCTTAAGAGTCAAATGACTCGAATTAATAACATTTGCTGGACTTATTTTATATTTTATTACATTTTTACAATAGTATTAGTTCAACGCCAAAACAAATGAAATCAGTATTGAAATAATTTCACATTAATTTATAAGTATGGATAAAAATTACACTCCTTAATAATCAACTTTTCAAGTGGTATAGTTATTAAATAGCAAGCATTAACTTGGGGAAACAAAATTCTATGACTTTTTTAATTCTTTATGTTTTGTTTCCGCCATTACCAATTTTGATTTCGCGTACCCCTAGGGGTACGCGTACCACAGGTTGGGAACCTCTGCCCTAGCGCATCAGATTGGGGTTTCCAGCCACTCTTTCGTATGTGTGATTTTATCTTGTTTTTGTAATTCCTACACCCCTTATCAATTCGTAGGTTGAATCTTGAGTTGTCCTGTAAATTCAAAGGGAATCACATTTTACACAGACTTTTGAGAATTATTTCAACGTTATATTAATAAGGCATATAAATATGTTACATCTAAAAACTTTTTTTCAACATTTAATACATATTAACCAATATGAAACCATTTCGAAAAAACTGAATTTCATGCCTATCTGATATTTCTCAAAATAACTAAGTTAAAAATATTTTTTAAAAATTGTAGATAATAATTGAAAACCTTGTCGAAAGTCAATTTTCTCTTTCCAATCCAAAAGTACAAGCTACTTTTACTTTTAAAATTACTTTTGACTTTTCTCAAGGTTCCATGCAAAATTCTGTAGGCGGAGGTTAAGTCTTATTTTAAATATAACCACCACGAATTGTTCATAATTTCACCAAATTAGGTCAAGTTTCGGGCGATAATTTTAATTTCTAAATTTGACCTTTCTGCAAAACTTTATCATCTCAAGGTTTTTTTCCCAACCACACACACAAAAAAAAGTCATATTTTAATTTCGGCAGTCTAAATCGGTTAGTTTCAAAACTTCTGAATCACTATGCACGCACATTAAGTAATACATTTTGAATAAATTATTTGTGTGTTGTTTGTTTTTCTTAATTGGCGAAATCTTATGTGAAAAACATTGCTCAATAAACAACCTCACCTCATCATTGGCCTAATTTCTTGTCGTGGGACAGACACATTTCGACACACTTCTTGCTCTTTTTCCTTAAACATAACATCTTCCAGTTTACCTTTGTAAAAGTTCCGGTATATTCCATTACAACATACACCGATTGCTGCAACATGTTGTCTTCTTGGTATCATACTTAAAAATATTATTATGCATTTATATGGCCCTGGTCATTTGCCAAAACAATGTGAGCCAGGGTCAAATCCAAAGGTGTACCGTACCGCCCATCCTAGAGTTGAAGGACTTTTTTAAACAAATGATTGGAATGACAGCAAGAATAAAAGAAATTCATTCAAATCTTTTTAAAAAATCGTTTGATTAAACAGTGCAAACAACTAATTTCGTCTCAGGGTTAAGGTGGGTTGCATAAACTAAAACCTCGGATGATGATTCATCTAAGCAGGTGTTACTGTGTTGCATTTAGCGGTTGTGTTTTTTTGATGGAAGCTTTTCTTCTGTAATCTAGTTCTGTAACTGATGAAGAAAGAAGACAAACATTTGCCGGCAAGTTAATTTGCCAGAATGATATGAGTTGAGCACGTCAAGGTTTTAGTTCGTGATTGATATTGCTTCTGGAAGTATTGCAAAATATTCAAATTGTGTTTTGCAGCTTGAATAAGTAATCAAAGCAACGAGGAAAAAAAATAAATGGTTCACGGACTTGCATCAAATTAGTCTTCATTTGTTAGCATCCAAAGATGAATGAAACAAAGAAAACAGAAGCAATGATTGATAGATTATTCAGAAAAAGAAATTGCTCTTAATTTTATTTTAAATTCTGTTTTTTTTTACATCTAATCAATTCTACAAAACTAAAATTTTTTTGTGATTTTTATGAGATATCATTCTGTATTTCTATTTCTTTTTTCTAGAATTATTACATCTGTAGATATATTTATTAAATATCTTCTACGTGACGTTTTAGAAGCGAAAAACATACAGAAATAAAACAAAACAAATGATGAGATTATTTTTAAATATTACCTAAGAAGAGATGAATTTGGTTTGAAAATGTAAATCGAGTGCCTTTTTCAAAGCTATAAAGATATAAAATCGACCATTTATGAAAAAAATTCCTAGCAATTTAAGTTTTAGTGTTAAATAAAATTAATTGATTTTTTTCAAGCTTTCTAAAAATTATTTTTGAATTTTCAGTTTTATTTATGTCTTTTGGCAGAAAATTATTATGGTTATTTTATTTGACTTATCTTTGAATCATTACTATTGCCTGTTAAATATCTAATATAATCAGATTATTTATTTGCTCTTTGATAGCTTCATGCTGTTGAAGATATTTTTGATATTTTTTACACAAATCTTCTGTTATATGAATATATGTCTGAATTTTAATTTGTTTTTGATTGTTTTTTTTAAAAATAACATGGATTTTAATTTAGCCAACCTAAATTCATGGAGTTATTTCATTTTATTTTAACAAGATTGTTGCGAGATTTAAAAACATTAATTCTTAAAATTTTATTTCCTTGGTAGATCTTGATCAGAAGTTCTAGTTTCTTCTTTTTCACCTTATTTAATGTTTTATTTATATTTATTTTTAGATTTCAAAATTTCAGCTACTAGTTTGCTAACTAAAAAGG